GGTTTGAGTTGACTAAAACTAAAATTCAGCATGCTACGTTGCTTGAATAAAACTGACAAGGCACATTCAATTTAGCAACTTCTTATCACCAGCATGAATGCGTAATTACTTTTTTAAAAGAAAAGGTAATTTTTTACATTTGAGTAACACATCGTAAAATGCAGATATGGGCATGAAAAACACTTTTGGAAAGCTTGAAGTCTGGCCATTCCAAGATGTTATACTTTCCTTGGTCTTTTGATAGCCATTTAGTCACAATTAGAAGATGAAAACAAGTATGCAATTAATAGTCTTGCTACCTTAATCCTACAATCTCATGCTTCTAAATCAAATCACAATGTTCTCCATTGCTAGACTTTATTTACAGCAAATCTTTGTTTTAAGTGTTCCAGTACGTTGTTCAAGAGTTAAAAATGCACCATTGTAGGGCCAGTGATAACAGTGTACGCATTGCTGCAGCAGCACATTTCAATTGCGATAATACACGACAGCATCTTTTATTATGCCATCATAGAACACCCTTCGTAGTCAGGTTAGAGTTTTGAATACTAGTATACACCAAGTTGACAAGCCTCTGTGCTGTGATATTGCTGGGATCATGGAAGGTACCTTCTATGCTGGAATAACAGCTTGAGAGAAATTTGGGCACATTTTAATTATTTTTTACCTGATAACACAAATTGAGCGGCACTAGTCCATGAACAATGGTGTAAAATCCACCAACTTTACATCTGCATAAACTTCCCTGTACAAATATAATTAATAATTTTCGGTAGTGCTACATCGGCACAAGTGAATGATATACAACTTTAATGTACTGTAGAACATTTTATATGCATTGATTTGTATGACCTAAGATAAAGTTAACTTTGTTGCAATACAAGCAAGTTTGGTTCAGTTTGTTTTGAACCATCAGGTAAAACCACAATTTCATGCAATTATTTAGTCAACAATTTCCACTGCGTGAATTTTGTGTAGAATACCGATAGTTGTCAGGACATGCTGAACGTCCTTCAGAATTTCCCCAAACTGTACATCTACTGATGATGGTTTGGAGCAGCAGCTTTCAAATCTGGTAAAGCCTATACACTTCCTGTTCTAGGATATAAAGTCTCGAGTTAGACTTGTATCCCAGATGAGTCTTTGTACTCAGAGCTTTGTGTTATGCAGAATAAAAAGCAAGGAAAAGACATTTATCCCAGCAACTTTTTAATACATTATGTAATTACAAATCAAAGAATGTTGGTTTATGCCTTCTTCTTGCTGGCTTGTGCTTTTAGCACCCTTACGACAATCTTCTGTTCTTCAATAAGAAACGCCCTCACAATCCTGAAATAGGAATAAGAAAACGCCAAAATGAATGTGACTTGCATTGAATTACAAAATTGAATTTATGAATCCTGTACTGGAAACTGCTTTACACTATTATTTCACTGGTGTCTTCAAGGCTGTCTGACTTTAAGGTGGACAAGGCAGGCAGGCAAACACTTGACTCCTGATATTATAGAAGTTAATTTCTGGGGCTGGTTATTTGCAAGTCTTTAGAAAAAACTAATTTTTGAAATATGACCCTGCACATTTTCAATCTAAAATGCCTGCAGCAGTAGAGCTCAACATTGTGGAAGGGAACTCAGTATTTTCTTCAAGGAAACAAGTTTGGATAATGATCATTAAATGATTTAGAATTTTCCAAATTTCATTATCATTTAGCTTGATCGAGTCACGAAGAAAGCGTTCTGTCAACTATTAACTAACTCAAAACCGCATGTATCAATCAAATGTGTTCAACAGGATATAATGTGTTGTGAAGGCATGTTTTTTTTTGTTCAGAAATTCAAAAATTTTAATCGACATTTGTAATTTGTCTATTAATATGTAACTTCACATGTTGAAAATCACATTTGAACAGACATCAAAGAAAACACTGCATTTGTCAACCCCTGTATTCTATAGCAGTGTTCTCCGCAAAAAATGGAATAGAATATTTGTTAATTTGCATAACAATGAAATGTGTCTATTGTACTCATTGTTATTCTGAATTGGCTCTATTGTTTATCCAAAAAGAATATAATAACCTAGGGAGAACCCTGCTATAGTGTAACAGATCTTACACAGACCTTTGTCGGACACATTTATTGCATCTAGAACCACCATACGTTCTTGTTACATGTTTCTTAGTTTTCGATAAAGACATTAGGCGTTTAGGACGAGCAGCAATAACCTGTCAACAAATAAGAATATGATAGTACTATTAGCTGCAGACAGCAGAAAGCTTTGCACTTCACCCAGACACAAATACAAAAGACAATTTAATTCCGTATAACTTTCATTACCACAGACATATCTGCACAATACACAGACAATTTCAATATAATTTGCATACCAATAATCTCTTGAATGGGAGTCGCTCTAATTTAGACCTTAATTTAGTTCTAAAATAGACGAAATGTTGAAAAATTACAGTTGTTAAAGAAAATAGTATATTTAAAATAATATGCATTAATTTTTTTAATTTTGTTGGTAATGAAAAGTATATTCTAAAAGCAGTTTAAAAAAACAAACACGAATGCATTGCTTAGTAGCAAATGATCACGACGGTACAATAGGGCAATCCTGTCATGCTGTGTTTCACAAGTGAATAACTTACTTGTTTTTGAAGTATTGCACTTGTTGATCATTACTCGGTGTGATTATAATAATGTAGACAAATTAAATTTGTTTTTTGTAATCAAGAAAACACGTCTTTTTAGCTAGTATGTTATTTTAGCTAATTTAGCTAATCCGCAATTTCTCTAAATTAAAATGTCGCTAATTAGAATAGAGTATATTCACAGTGAGATTATCTGCACTTAGCTAAATTAAGATTCAGTTAATTCATTCATTGAGTCAAATTCGCTAAAATGATATGTAGCTATTTCAAAGTGTTTTACAGTAGTTTTCAAAAAAATAAACTGAGCGTTGAAGAAGAATTTAACAATTTTTATTGTGATAACGGCTCATTGTCGAAACGAAGTTTACCCATTCACACTTAACCACAATAAACATGAGTGGCGTTCACGTTAGAGATCTCGGCACGTGCTGAGACTCTGGACCGAAACTCGGCACGTGCCGAGATTTGCTGCCTGAATGCTCGACACGAGCCGAAATCACGCCCTCGTTGGTAAATTTAAGAAAAACATAAGTTGATTGATACTAGCATGAAATGACGATGACAGGAAATTCGGATATACTAGTAGATGGTCGGATGCTGTAGTAATGAATGCAAACCGTCTTCAGTGATGCATATTTATGTGCTGCTACAACCTCTATTTTCTTGCACATTTTACATTGACGTGATAAAAAATAATTGTGTTTCGAATCTTCTTTGCCGTTCATGTGCACGATGGCTCGTAATAAACACCATTGCAACAAATGGATATAATTTCACTATAACAATTATTATTATTATCATCATATGCGTATCGTTTGGGCCAACAGATCGACGAATGAGAGAGTGATTTCGGCACGAGCCCAGTCGGTCCTAAGTGGGTCCTGAATAACGTGAACACAACTGCTGTAATCCCTCTGCAAACACAACTGATTAAAAATTTCGGCACGTGCCGAGATCCCGTAACGTGAACATAGTAATTGTACTTTTGAATAGGCGTTAATAACTACAGCAAACTTAAATCAGACTCTAATCTCTAATAGAACAAATGTAATATTGTAATTTTGGTCTAATCCAAAATAAGAAAGCCCACTCCTCCAAAATCAAGTTGAATCAGCCTGTTAACTGCTGGGGAGGTCAGATGGTTTTCAAAAAAATAAAATTCTGACTATCTTGAGGTCAAAACAAAAATGTTGTGGTTTACACCATTTTGTTTATAAAATTTGAATTACATTAACACTGTGTTATTGCTCATACATATAAAAGATGCAAGGAGAAAACTTTTTTTTCAGTCATTCAATTTGAAATGTCAGGGCTATCAAAATTCCAACAGGAAAAATGTAAGTTTGAAGGCATGAATTCTTTAATAACCAAGAGATATCAGGACTACAATTTTTCTACACACTGTACAAAACAGCTGACAAAGAAACTGCAAGATGCATGAATTCAAGGACATAGTACTTACCCCAAACAATTTCATTTTACAGTCACCACATGATGGTACGGTTCCCTTCTTTTTGGTGTATAAATATACCAGCTTGCCACCTATAATGAAATGAACATAGACAACTGTGATTGCATTCCAATATAATAATCCTAATTTATTTTAATAACATCGAGATGAGAAGCTCAAGGAGCTATGGATGAAAAACCTAGTTTTGAGGTTTCCCCCGTGATGGGTTTTAAAGCAAACTGTTCCAGTAAACAACCTAGTGACTCAGAATCTTATTAGATGAGGAGCCTGTATGAACTTATAGTGTGGACATGCGCGAGTTAACATTTATTATAGTGTACCATAGATATAAGTGTTTAATCCAGAGAGGTATCGACTAATGTGAAACACTTTAATTTACAAACAAATTTCTACGAGTCAGTGAAATTTTGTAGCAGGTTCCTAGAAGTGACAGTAAAGTTTGTGAAATTTTGTTTTCTATCGTGAATATCCTCAAATCTTTGTATTTGACAGGAATTTTAATGTCAAGAAAGTTATTCCTGATAAAGTGACCCCTCGCAAAGTCGCGCCTAAGTATGTCGGATGTTGGATGGCCCCCCTAAAATTCTATTGTGTTTTGCCAGCAGTTTTAAAGTAGAACTAATGTTTCGTCGCAGCATGCATTTAACTGGACCTTAATGGAGGAGACATCTCAATACTGCATTTAATTTGGTTGCATCGGTCTCGGTAATCATCTATACTAGTGCATGGGGCTGTGTGGAAGGAGATTCCTGATCAACAACACAGCACTGTATGTAGGATTAGCGGAAAGAGTTCCTTAAGGCCCATCACCTCCAACCATAACACTCCAGCACCCCCACCTCCAATGCAATTCAATATGCCTCTCAAAATAATCACAAGTGAGCCAAAGAGGGGTATATACGATATTAAAATGGAGTAAATTTGAGTTATGGGCGAGGGGCCCTAAGGAACTCTTTCCCCTGACCCTGCATGTGCTGTGTTGTTACCTGACATTGTGGGTCCGGGTAACAGAATATGGGGTTAACCGAGTACACCCAGGCAAACCACTAAAACAAGACTAAATATGGACCCGTACGGGTGGAATTAAGAATAAAAGAACTGAACAAAACTCCTAAACATACGTACCTGGAGTTTTGGAACTGCATTACAACAACATTACACATCCATGATTCATAGACATCCAATGCGTGAACCAAAACAAAGTAGTTAAAAATGAAAATAGAAAAAAATAGTTACTATAACATATCAACAATTATTGATATAAGGTCAAACGGTTGTCAATTTCCAATCGAGTGTATTACGGGCGAATTGTATTCACATAACTTACATTCGTTTGCGATTTGATTTCGTGTTGTATGACAAACGCCGTCTGTACTGCAATCGCTGCCCCATGTTGAACTAGGGAAAGGAAAAATCACATTTATTACGGTATTTTCCGAAAAATTCGCTCATGCATTCATTAAATACAAAAGTGTTATTTTTATTTCAGTATCTCGGTGCCTGTAATGTGTATATATGCTACGATGACGGCGGATTTTCTATAACAACACAAAAAAACATCCTTACTCCTATCCAAGATGGCCGCAAAAAGAACGAGCGGTGGATTGTGGGATTGGAAATTGGCCATCCGAAGAGCAGTTTGTGTTTCTCCCTCGTTCAAGACAATGTTAAAGATAATGCTGTTTTTTCTCAACGTGGTGTTGTATTCCAATCTACATAATGTAATTCATAATAGTGCAAAAGTTTCAACATTTTATGGAATTCAATTTCCATTTGTTTGATTTCACTTAATATTTATGAAATATTAAATTCGTAGAAATGTCATTGATTTTGTATTTTCACATATTCTCGTCAATATTTAGACTGTGATGTACTTCTCTTAAAAAAATAAAATATATAAAATAGATATTAATCTTAATAATAATATTTACTCGTTGTGTTGATGATCATGGGTTTTTATGTTGGGCGCCCTCAACAGATGCATGTAGTAAATCTAGTATAATATGCGGCAATGTGCCAGTGGTGCCATGCTATGGTATACCACAGCCCAGGGACTGTGGGTATACAAAATGTATTCTCTGTCACAGTCTATAACAAAAATTATAACTATAGAGTAAATCGAAAAACAGAAACATGTTGGCATTGGTTTATAGGCTGGAGCTGTACAAATCCCGATCACAAAAATGAAGCATACGAATACAAGAACCGCGACTACAATAATGTCAACATACACTCCCTTGCCCAATCATCGGACGTCAATGTGAAATCAACGAATTAAATACGCAGTGTATTTAGAGACCATACTGCTGTATAACTTAGACATGGTGTTATCTCAATAAAATTATTATACAAATTATTGTATTCAATAGAAACCCTCAAGACCTATTTGTATTTATCTGATTTTCTTATTTCCTGATAAATTATCGTAATCATTGAAGTTTAGAGTACCCCTACACGGCCGCCATCGTTAACAGTCGGTTAATTAACAATACCCGTAAAATGATTATGTAGGTGATATGGTCTAATGACAAAGCTATTTTTTAGATATTGTGCCAAGGGAATTGTTAAGTTATTATTTGAAATTTTTTTATGAATTTATTTTCAGGTGTCAGATTTATAAAGTCAGTGGTAATCTTTTCAGCTTCTTTGTATAAATTATCATTTTTGTTACTCAATTTGCAGATTATGTCGCTACTTTTGATTCTGTTGTGTCTTCCTCTTTCAATCTCTAGACTGTGAATGCTCAGTCTGAATTTAGTTAAAGTTCTTTTCGCTTCTTTATTTCTTAGTGTTATTAAATAGTTTTCCAAAATAAAATTAATTTGTTTTAAATAATTTGTATGTCCTTAGTTTGTTTTTTGTATTAGTGTATTGTCTGTTATCATCATTAATTGGGGGGGGGGGTAATTCAATGCTTTATAAATACGTTTTTTATTTTGTCATATATCCGTGACGTTTGTGACGATTTTAGTTCATTATTGTCAATATCTGATAGATTTTGTATTTGTAGATTTCAGTACTGAGTTAAGTACATTGTACCACTTACTTTTGACAGACTTTTTAATTAGGAAGGCTTTCTTAATAATAGGAGTTTCAACTACATGTTGCATTATATCACAAACCATGACCTTGGCTTATTCAGTAGAGCATTGCCCTCAACAGTTGCGAGGATCTGTGATTAGAATGACTATCATGCATCCACACAGTTTGTCGATCTACATATCGTAGCTTCGAATCCAGAGTGTCGCTCTTCAAAACAAACGTCCCGTTTTAAATAGTATGGGAAAAGTTGTACTATCAATTTAATAGATCATATTAGAATAAAATATTTTTGGGAAAAAAAAACGCTTGCTTGTAAATGAGGGCAAAAAAACAGCTATCTCCTTGTAAAAAGGCATTATTATTAAGAACAACGAATCCAGTAAACGCGGACTGCTTGGAGAAGGAAAAAGTACTTTTCTAAAATGTTGTCAAAAAGAGTATTCTCTGAGTAAATGCTGAAAACAGATGCAAGACGAAAAATATCTTCTACGAGAAATAAACACCATGCCCAGAACAACTTAAAGGGGAACCGCTCAATCCCATGGATTGCACCAAAGAATCATGGGACACTATTGTTTATGTTGTTTACAAAGTTAATCTATTCTTTGTTATCCATTGTAATTTTAATCCAGAAAGAAAATTTGTTGTGAGATTAGGCTTAACTAGAAGTGCCCCATTTAAGGACACATATAAAGAGTGGTATAATTGCATTTAATCATTGTATTAATTTTTGTTACGTTTTTTTTAATATCCAGTCATTCAATATTGCAGCAGTCTGGAATAACTGTGGCATTAACAATTTTAATTACAAAACTACTCACGAATCTCTACTCCAAATCCGGGGAGGTTCTCCAAGTCAGACGTGGTACCCATGCTGAAGTATAGCCTCTAAACACGTTCTTATTTTTGTGAAATTATACCTGTTTTCAGGGCAACAAATTTAAAATAGATACCCTGTTTACATACTAAAATCATACTGTTTCCAAGTTGAGGTAAAATGAATTCATGGGATTACTTTTTTCACACTTTATTTATATATTTTAAAATATTCAACGCTAGACGCGGTACAGGCGTATACGCGTCAAATAAGTAAATAACATCCCTTTTTACGCGTTTTTTATTACTTCAGCTTGCGTACCATATTTTATTCAAAGTACTCCATCCCGGGAATCCAAGTTAACCACACTGTCCGTTTACAAAGACAAAATAGTATATATAATATGGTATATACACGTACTAGATAATAAAGCTCTCATTTGCATTAAAAATATGATACCTCAAAAAACAATCCAATGTGAATTTAAAAGTATAAGAATTTAAATTTATTATATTATATGTTAATACTACTAAATATGGCCTGCATTCATTTATATATCAGGCTCCTAGATTCGGAATCTGCTTGATGTGGGCATAAAATCAGCTGCGAATGAGGTGAATTTGATGTAAAAAATTTCAATTTGATCTTCATAGTTTAATCTGTCATTTTTGCTCGGCTATATTATCACATGTGTGCTACTTTTATGTTTTCCGAGGGTTAATAAAGCAATTGATTGATTATCTGACTGATCGATTGATTTGGATTGCCACGAGTACCTCATTCATTTGGATTTTGATCATGGGGCTAAAATGACAATCTGTAACTTTGTTATGTTAAACCCGACTGAAATAATGTTTTCCCATCGTTGTTCGTACAACTTTGTTTTTGTTTACGTATATGCGGCACTTCAAACTACGGAGTCGTATTGTAACCGTACCGTGCTATAGTCTGTGTTGAGAACACATTTCTGACGACACTATAGCGTACGATATGGCTTTTAGAGCCATGCGCCTGTCCGCCTTGTCATTTTAGATTGATACACAATTTCACTTGACAGACAAAAGTCTGTACAAACCTGTCAAATTTTCCAAGATGAAAATTCCCTGTAAATTACAAAATAACCAACAAAATAATAGACTGTAAGTCTACGGCTACAGACTAGTAACTGTTATTTTTCATTCAATTTCGATAAAATTTGTAGACAGCCTGAAGTATTTTCATTGTTCAGGCTATAACCCTGGTATACATGCATTCATTTTTTTATATACATTACGGGGTATTATTTTGAAATAAACTAACCACTTCGCCCTGCCCATTATTATGTGTTTACAGGATTCGGTGGGAATGTTACATGTGTAACCCGTTATTGCACACACACCCCGGGCCGCCACTGTCCTATTATCAAATAATGGAACTAATGGGTTACAGTGACTGAGGGGTGGTAGAACTACTGTCACGAGGATTTTTTTTTATGATACTGCTATAATTTGTGTTGCCTTTCTTTTTTCCAAAATTGTGTGATTTGTTCATATGCAAATATTTGTTTTCGTCTGTAACTTCCATTTACAAACAATACCTTTTTATTCCGTGAAGGTTTTTTTTTTTCTCGAAATCTACCCATCCTCTTTCAGAGTTTCTTATGGTCAACCCCGAAATTTGTAAGATTTTGTTATTTTTAAGATGACAAATATAATTACTAAAAAATATAATTTGAAAAATGCATGTGGCGACTATGAGTAACAATCGAGAAATTCACAATAATCGTTTAGAGGAAACATTCCACAAACCACCACACAGGTCGATTTTTCCTCCAACATGGCGTCGTTACTCGACAGCTACGAACATCAGTTCGGCGGTTTGACAGCCGAAATTACGACGAAAATTGCTAAAATACCAAATCTATCAGGCAGTGAGTATAGCATAATTTATTGTGACAATTTACATTTGTTGTTGTTTGTATTTGTCGGTAATAAAGATATTTTTATTGCAACTTTAATAACCGGAAGAGGGGCTTTTCGTCTGTCGATGTGGTTTCAAATCCGATAATATTTTGAAACATCGATCATCGTATCCAGTTATAACTGTGTATATATATTTATACATTTTTTGCTGTTTTTTTTAAATGTATGATATTACCATCTATGTTTTTTGTAACTGTCAGTACCTCCATCAAAAACGTTACATCTTAGTAAAACGCCGGGGTTATACGGTTCATCGTTTGAGAAGCTTCCATTCATAGATCTTAATAATAATAATAATAATAATAATAATAATAATAATAATAATAATAATAATAATAATAATAATAATAATACATGTAATAATAATAATGATGATGATGATGATATTTTTGCTAGAAGTAATAAAATATAGGATAAATAGCTATAAACAAACATTATAATCGAAAGTTAGGTTTATTTATTTTGTTTATTTATTTATTCACCAAAAAAACAAACGATCATTGTATCCAGGTATAATTGTAATAATTACCATCTGTTTTTTTTGTAACTGTCAGTGCCTCCATCAAAAACCTCACATGTTAGTAAATCACTGAGGTTAAACAGTTCACCATTTGAGGAGCTTTCATTCATAGATCTTAATAATAATACTGTAATAAAATGATTTTTTTTGCTTCAAATAATTCAATATTAGATATATAAATTAATATGAATTCTCAAGCTTTGAACAAACATTATAATTGAAAGTTGGATTTATTCTGTTCATTATTTATCCCCAACAAATCTAAATTATATAACAATATTTACAAGCCACATAACCCAAGTTAGACACTTTCATAAATATGAATGAATCTCACTGATCAGTATAATCTCATGATTAAGATTTACCAGAATAATGACATGAATCACTAATAATATATATATATATATTGAGGAAATTAAAAATAATATTGAAAATTTTGAATGAAAGAATTACTGTCTCATGATATATTAGGCAAATCCAGAAGAAGAAAAAATTGTTCTGGGTAAAAATGATGTTAATGATTTAAAAATATTTAAATTTTTCGTTTCTAATGTACATTGAAACAAGAATGACCTGAATTTTTATTTTTTAGAGTACTCAAATTACGAGAATAATCCCTTTGATTGATAATACATTTAATACGCATGATTCTGAAGATGTACACTATCCTGCTGTAATAAAAGTATTTATTAATAAAATTAACTATTTTTTAAAAACAGGACTATTCAAAATTTATTATTATTTATTAAAAATATTTAAAATTCAATATTTAGCACATCTCTGATTTTGAGGTAAAGTGTGAGAATTTGTAAGTGCATGATGAAACAGGAAGTGAAAATATTTACTAATTAAACCTACTTCTCAATTTCAACGTAGTGTCACAGATGTGAAAAAGCTGTTGAACTAATGAAATTCCCTTTATGTTGTCCCCATATGCTGTTTGGGGCCACTTATACTCACACAAACAGACAGTTGCTATACTCTGATAATTGTAGCCGTATTAATTCAATTTTATTGATTTGTATTCTGCAATTAAGTTTCACACCTTGATTGGTTTGTTTTAAATAGATCATTTGTGAGGCAATTTTATTTTCCTGACACAGTTTTAAAAAAAATAAGATTTTATCACCCCCCACCCCACCCCAATAAAATGAGAATTTCAAAAATAATTGAAAATATATGAAAATTCATTGATGTCTGTCAGTGAGCCATTTTTATTTTTAGTACTGACTCGGCTGATCATTTACCCATTTTCGCATATAACTGTGATTGCAATCTTTTTGTAATGACATGAAATCTCCCAAGAGCAAGTTATAATAAAAATATAGGAAAAACAGATAACTATGGTATCTTCCATTTGGGAAATCTTCAGCATCAGCTTTTGTCCACAAAATAAAATCCACAAATATTGTTCATATATATTCCCAAATTTAGATCAATTCTGTATCAAATAAAAAATTATTACATGTAGTAAAAAAATGTTGCCCCAAAATTTTGATAGAAAAAATAAGTGTGGCAAATACTTCAAAAGTCGCTAGAAAAAAAATTTGTCACTGTTTTTTTTTTACTACCTGCTCATTTTTGTGCTTTACTATTTGCATATGTTGAAGATAATGAATAACGATAATGTTGAGGATATTATTGTTATAATGTACAGTATATATATTTTTTTTTCCAGGTGAGAAAAGGTCAATGATAAGTTCTGTTGAGAAGAATATGGATGAAGCTAGCGAATTGGTTCGTACCAAACACAAAATTATTTCATTGTGTAAACCAGGGCTTTAACTTTGGAGGTCAGAAAGCACCAATTTTCAAAACCAAAATTTATAAAATTGCTTTGGTATTATCGATGTATGAATAATATAGGGAATATCGAAAGGAACTAAAGCAAACTCAATCGGCTCAAGGCTCTTTAACACCTTTGTGAAGTTCAAGTCCTGGTGCAAAAGTTAAAATTTACGAATACACAAAACAGAAATAGGTTTGTTAAAGTATTGATATCGCCATAGTTACAGATATTTTTATGTTTTACGAAACAAGTCCAACTTGAATTACAAATGAAATAAATGATGACAGATACTTAATGATGCATGTTTAAAAATCACTTTAGAAACTTTATGCTCCTCACGACTTTTTTTTTGATGCAGCATATTAACCCTTTGAGCACCATCATTTTTCCCCGCTCAAAACTTGTGAAACATTTTGCCAGTTTTTATATATTTTTTTATATTTTTTTTTATAATTTTCAACTAAATGAACATAATTTCCTATTGGTTATAAGTCTTGATACAAATTTTGGAAAAATTATGAAAAAAATTATATGCGTTTTATTTGTGAATGGTGACAAGTTGACTTTGCTCTCAAAGGGTCAATGTGTCTTTGTTTCTGTGGCAATGTTCTTTCTGACATTTCATAAAAATGTAATGTACTACATTGTAGTAAACAAAGAGCCACATCATCATTAACATGCATGGATATAATTGACATCTAGGGTAAGATATAGGTATTGCTAGGTATCACTTACTGTAATTTTTATGTAACCATCATTTTAATAAATCTACAGTGATGCCAAACAAAATGTATAAACATAAGATTTATAAATATTATTGGTATACCGTTAAAATCCTATTATAAACCGCGGTTTATATTACAATGTATCAAATAAAAAATTGGGATCAACAGCTCATTTTCAGGGTGCGGTTTCTATTACGTACATATTGCAATCACTAAATGGGCGTGGTCATTTTTTTCCCACATCACTTGCACAAAACAAACAATACACCGTACAATCTTTTGAATATAAGCGTAACTCCAATTTAGAGGGAAGAGCGATAAGCGTCGCATCACAAAATAACTGTTCACATGAAAAAAAAATACTCAGTATATTTAATGTAATATGCATTTATTTTTTTTATTTTCTTTGTAACAGAAAGTATATTCTGACAGGAGTTTCAAATAAAAACAAACATTAATGCATTGCTTAGTAGAAAATGATCATGGTATGGCACTAAAAGTACGGTGCCAACGGTAACTCAATCCGGCCATGCTTTGGCTCACAAGTGAATAACTTACTTGTTTTCGAAGTGTTGAAATTGTAGATTATTACTCAGTAGTGATTATCATAACGCACGAAAAATAAATTCATTGAATTGTTATCAAATGCAAGTAAAATTCAACTTAGTTTCACTGTAATTTTGGTCACATGTAAACGATCGATGCGATACGACATCGGCCATGTAGTTTGAATGCACACGAGACGTTACTTGACCGGATAGGTCAAGTCGTTAATTAACCAATTAAAATGCTGGATGGTGCCCACGTGTTCAAATTACCTCATTTAAATATGTTAATGACAGGTCTCCGACTTTATGGAGAACGAATCACAGAAGTGATTTACCGATAATGTATGCGATCTTTTGGCTTTGATTTCCATGAGAAAACGAGATGACTTTTTTTTTTTAAATCAAGAAATTAGATGTTTTCGAAAGATAAACTGAGCATTGAAAAATAATTTAATAGTTTTTCGGTGATAACAGCTCATTGTCAAAAACGTACTCATAAGGAGCATTGACAAAAGTTGTTGCAAGAACAAAAGCAGTTTCACTGCGTGTTTGACATCCTAACAATACTGAACAATAAAGAGGTGTGAATATTTTTAGGCATGTTGTCGAAACAAATGAATAGGATTAGGAACAATGTACCAGCTGGTTGAAACAAAGTCAGTCACGGTCTTGTTAGATTGGGGGTGCGGTTAGTAATAAGTACTTTTCATGTTTTCATTTTTTGTTGAGAATTCTGTATCACTGAAGCCGAAATCGGGGTGCAGTTACTATTAGGTATGCGGTTTATAATAGGATTTTAACGGTACTACTTGTTCATGCGTTACTGGTGAATGGCCATTGCCTGAAATGACTTATCTATATTTCTTAGTTACTAGGAACAATGATTACTACATTCCATAAAACTTTGTAATGTTGAGTTCATCTTCAAGTCTTGTCTGATTTACGTAGAATCCAGACTGTCGCTACCCGGTAGTGTGATTATAAATTTATTGCTGGGCTGACTCCAAGTTTAAAATACTGTTTTTGGACTACCGTATTAAAAGTGAATTTCTGCATTTATTGTTTGCTAGATCATTAAAATGTTACTTGTTTTGACTTCTGTCATTTACATAGACCAAATTAATAGACCATTAATAGACCAAATACAGTGATATAGTCATGGTTGGTGATACTATATTGCCTTTCTTAGCTCATTTACGCCGGAATGCGGGGCGTCGATCATAAAAAGTGTAGATATCTGCTCGAATTTGCCACTCTGTTTCAAATTTTGAGCATAAACAAATACCTGGTATTATACAGTACAAGGATTGCTACCGCTGCCCCGCACGTTAGGTATTTCTCCCTGTTCGCCCCTGCCCGTGCCGGGACAGTCCCACGCGTGTTTTTACGTCCGCATTTTCAACTTGCCAACGAGAAAAAAATAACATGAAAGATCACAATAATCAGAATCTTGAAGCGAATTGAAATTTGCAGTTATTGTCTATGCTGCAACATAATGTTTTTCTGATATGGATGTTTTTAAATGATAATTTTTCAAAAATTCACAGTTTGTAATTCATCTCAGCCAACTTGTGGAAAATCTTGTTATGGTCGTTTTCATATGAATTATATCATTGGCGATTGACAATAGGTTAGAAAAACCTAGTATTCATTGTACCGTTTATACTTTCTCTCTCCTCAGCTAGAACAAATGGATTTAGAAATCAGAGAAATTCCTTCCAAAGACAGGCAGAGATTTAGCAATAGACTGAAGAGTTATCAAGTAGAAATGACAAAATTAGAAAAAGAGTTTGTAAGTATGAAACTACCACAATCTTAATCCTTTGAGTACCATCATTTTGGTGCAATATTTTGCCTATAGTATTTTTCTGTAATATAGTTGTATAGATCAACATTTGTGGGAAAATCTGTGAAAAATGTACATTATTTTTGTGATTGGTGATGAAAGTTGACTATTCCGCTCAACGAATGAATCTGCAATCAGTGCTTGAATGCAAATGTAGCGAAATGTGTGAATAAATAAATTAAGTTTCACAAAAACAATAATTTGCATACATTGGATCATTAAAATATGACTCAGTTTCGACCATAGACACTCCTAATAGAACAGACACTATACATGTATCAGTAAACAAATTATTAAATGCAATGCAAATGTCTGTTTAGGAATATGCAAAATTTTGTAACAGTCATCTTTAGCCCACTGAAAGCTCAAATTAACTTTTTTCACATCATGAGAAAGTTCATTTGACCTGATATTAAGAAAGAAAATTAAATAGAAATGTTGGGCAAAAAATGTTAGCAGAAAAAATTATGGCATTCAAAAGGTTAGGACACAATGAATTTTACAAAGTTTTTCCACCAAATTGTTCGCGTGACAAATTCCATCAACATCATTATGTTGTTACACAATGCATTGTAATGAATAATGTTGAATTTTCAAACTGCTGCTCACACTTAAGGTGGGGTGGTTGTCTCGCAAAATATTATGGGTATTAACAAAGATGGCTACTTTGACTCAAGGTCAGTATTTAGCACATGTCGCATCCAGATCAAAACTTGTTTGCATTTGCCAGACAGAGTACTCTGTATTGTGGGCATATTAATGTTTATCAATGCAAATCTCGGACAGTGTGACGCGATGACGTTCACCCTTTAAATATAAATACATGTTTTTAATTTAATTTTTTTTGGCCTTATTGTTCACAAGGGTTTCCTGATTGAGGGTCCATATCTGAATGATGAAATCACATGATGTTTTATTTGTGTAACTTTATATACTGTAAAAGGATTAATTATTCACTGGGTTTTAATTTAGCTTATTTCGCTGACTGGAAAATGCACTAAATTAAAACCCAGTGAATATGTAAAATTTAGCATAGAAGACATTATCTAAATGATAAAACCGTGAATTTAAAGCCCACTGAATATGCCTGAATTGCTAAATCAGCGAAATTTAAACCCAGTGAATATTAGTCATTTTACAGTATACTTTTGTCCCTGACAGAAACGTTCTCGAATAGCATACAGCGATTTACAACATGGTAGATCTGAATTGCTTGGTGGAGATGATGCCTCTACATCAGAGGACCAGGTAAGTTTTCATGAATAGTTTGTATTCACTTCCACATTATTGTGAAACTCCTTATTAACCTTCATCATTTTCATGTTTTTCCCGGCTTTTGTTTCATGGTTTGGTTGCAAAATAACTCAAAAAGTTGTGAACAAATTTTTATGACAATTTCATTAGGAGGGGCTGCCCTCATATCAGTCAATTTATTTTGGTATAAATCTGAATCTGATTGCCATGGAAACATAATTTTTACAGGGTTCTTCCTCATTGCCCATATCACTCAAAAAGTTGTGAACGCTTTTTGAAGTTTTCAGAGGGTTGCCTTTGGGACAATGATCAATCAATTAGATTTCAGGAGAGATCATCATTTAGTTACCGTGAAGATGACAGTTTCGTCATCGGCCATCCTTATCCCAATTTCCCTGTTGCCAGCTGTGTCAGTTTAAACGGACACAAGACAACATGAGGCGGCTACGTAAATGCATTCCAGGGTAATGGTCTAAGTACATGAAATATTAAACTGCTTATATCTTATGGTATACTTTCAAATTTTGACATTATGCTACACTTTAGTTACACTTTAGCAAGTTCTTTAGATTTGAATTAATCAAAAATGTATTTTTTTTTTATTCCATCAGAGGGCCAGATTATTAGATAACACAGAAAGATTAGACAGAACAAGCAGACGGTTAGAGCAAGGTTATGCAATTGCCGTTGAAACAGGTATGTTTTTTTCTTCTGACATGACCACCATGCCTAACATATGGCATTTATCTTAGCTGTAGCTTCCAGTAATCAGTTTTCTTTCAGCAGCTGCAAAAAAGGTGCAATAGAAGAAAGCAGTGTAGTGTAGTTTAAGAGATTCAAAAAAAAAATAGAACCGAGGTTATAGAATGTGATAATGCACTTGAAGGATTCAAATGTGGACAGCATGCACAGACGACAACAATTTTTTCCCTAAGTGCATTACTTCGCTGTTACGTTTCAGTGATTTGTTGAATCACAAGATTTAGGCATAAAAAAATTGTTTCTGGTCAGTGTGTGAACCCCCCCCCCCCCCAAGAAAATGTGCAGCATTCCGACTGAATTTTTAGAGTAGGGGTTTCTATACTCTCTCATTTATGAAATGATGGTATGGAAACAAGCGTAGGTGAATTATTTACTGCAGTTGGTAAATTTATTATATCATTCCAAGTGATTTTCAAAATTCTGTGTTTTCTGCTGGCTGGAAAATCAAAAATAGGTAAATGGGAAAACTGGTGCAGGTTGATATTTTTATACCACGTTCGGATGAAGTCCAAAAAACTGGGACTTGTGTTTTGATCTATGTGCGTCTGTTTGTGTGTCTGTGTGGTTCTATCTGTATCTATCTAATTCAAGATGGCTGAATAGTGGTCATTTTAAAAAGTAGTAAAAAATTATCAAAATTAAGCATTTCTACCTTTCAGAACCTGATCTGAGTCATGTATGGATGAATTTTGTTCAAACATTACAGTGCCTGTGAAATGCCCACCCACACTGAAATGGACAGTTATTGATTTTTGTTGTTGAAAATGATTACTTGTATCCAAGTAAATTTGGGATATTTCTTGTGCTGTAGCCACGCCCAGCTAACCTGAAACAGTCGACTGTTTCCGGATTTACGACTCTCACCAAAGTTAAAGAGCACCATCAAATGCCAAAATTTGAGAGGAAGCACTTTAAACATTATGGGACATCGATGCATGTCACTTTGTTATTAAAAATTATGACTGGTGGCCATTTTGTTTTATCGAATGCCATATTTCTGACATACCCTGGCCGTTAATCTTTAAACTTAAAATAATATAAAATGAACATTGTATCACACATATGCACATTTATTTATTTGGTTATTCAAGATGGCCGATGGGGAGCTATTTTAATGTTAAAAATTCATCAAAATCAAGCATTTCTTTATTCCCGCAACCAGATCTTGTTTGTGAATGGGCCGATTTCATTTAACTTGGTACATACATTGAACATTATAAGACCTTGATACACATTGTTTTGTTTGGCCATTTTGTTTTATTAAATGCAGTTCTGGAGCCATAACTCTGAAATGCTCTGACCAAAAAGTTCAAACTTTATATGTTTCTGATATAAATCTTTAATAGGGATATATAAAAAGCAATTATTTGTGTTTCACTTATTTCACCACTGCACGGTGACAAAAACACTGCAAAAATAAACCAGAGTCAACTGGCTACTGTGTAAATCAGTGCTGGAAATTGATCAGCTATTCTGCTGTTGAACTCAGCTATTTTTTTATAGGTGAACATTTTCTAATTCTGTTTTTACAGAACAACTAGGAGCAGATATATTAGATAATTTACAGGATGATCGACGGAAAATAGAAAGAGCTAGGGACAGGGTGAGTACGGTTAAAAGTCATAGGTTAGGGGTTATGGATGGTTCTTGTGAGACAATTTGGTGAATGCAATGTATTTATTTTTTAAGTTTGATTATGAAGTTTGAAGCACTAATGAGAGAAGTTGTATTGCCTACATTTGTAGTTCAAAAAATCAAAAACTTATTAAAGGGTGGTGGTCGTCGTCCTAGCGTTGTATACAATGCATGTAAAATATAATTTCATTTGTCTACATTATTTTAGATCACACCCTTTAATTCATGGTCTCTATTAATTTGTGCAGTTTCCAAAGATTTAAACATTATGACGTCGAAATCATTTATATAAAGTGAATTAAAAAAACAAATACCGGTACTTGATGTATACATCAGTTCATTAAATTATGTTCGTATCGCCATGTACTTTCTTCGCAAGAGATTGCAACACATCGTACCAGTGCATCATTTTCAACAAAACGTGAACTTCATTTTTTTACGCGTGATATAGCCTTAACTACAGGCGTGTGGCAAGAATGCTTCAAAACAATACCCTATATATTCTGTTGGTTTTTTGTCTCTATAGTTACGTGAAACAGATGCTGATTTAGGGAAAAGTTCACGAATCCTCAGTGGAATGATGAGAAGGTAAATTGGTTCTCTTGTATCCTTCCACACAATATAGAGCCACTCTCTATGTTGATTAGAATTCTTTGCGCGTCTGACCAGCTGATTGCGGGTTTGACTCCTACTCAAGTTGACTACGCACTCGGTGGTGAAACAAACAGTACACTCTTCCTACTTGCCAGGCTCCTCTGCATTTCTAAGTGGAATATGGTGTCTAGTTTGAGGGGATGTTAAACTGTTGTCATGTTTGCTGCATCTCTCATCAGTGTATGTTCAACCGTGTCATATGAGTAACAGGTTACTGTTGGTTGCCTTGAGTATTCTCCATTTCCGGATCTGTATGTAGGTTTGTCCATTAATCTGCGTAATAAATATATCAAATTGTTAAGAAATATTATTTAGGTTTGAACACTAAGGTAAAAGAGAAAATTTCATCTTGAAAAAATGCTGTTAAGATGGCAATAGCTGCAATTCAGTAGTTTTTACAGATTTATTGTATTTAAAAAAAAAATCTGTTTTTGTGGTTATTGTCAAGCAGAGACAAACTGATTGCTGTGACTGAAGAATGATTGTTATCTACATGTACTAAGCAAATATATTTGAGTGTTTACAAGCCAACAAAAAAATGTCAGAAGAAGTTAATGTCCTAATGTCATGCACAGTTGTCAGATGACTGAAAACTTTTAAAGTTAAATTAAATTGACAACAACCCTGTCGATTACCTTATTCCTGCCATCCTTTGGTGCTCTTTGCTACTTCCAAAATGATGCATTCTGGGTGCCCAGGCACTGTTTGTGGTTGTAATTATGGCATTGTAACAAGTCGATTTTATCCAATCTTGATATCTTAATTGTTTTCATCATTTCTTTCACTTTCTTTGGCAATGAGCATTCAGTTCAAATATTAAGTGAAGGCTCAATCCATGAAGTTAAGTAGTCTTCTGCCCTAACATAATAAAACAAAAAATCACTACAATCCCGTAATCCAAAACTTATTTTTGTGACAGTTTTTTTGTTTTTTTTTGATGTGATATATTCTCATGTGTGTGATCACCAGAAACACATTTTTGTTTACACTTGAGGGGCATGTGGCACAACAAACATAGTCTCTTTGTTTAACATTCAACCTTCACCCCATCCTACCTTCTAAACAAAAGTTTGCAATTGTGAAAAAATAACATAAACACAGTTATTGAAATCACCACTTACCCAAAACCCCGAAACAAAGAGATTAAGTGTGGACATTTTTATTCTCCTCGCCCAGAGCTGATTTTTGTATATATCTGTTTATTGTCTTTGCTAGGTTTCTTCCATCCACCTGAGTTTTACATGACAAATATTGTGAGTCAGTTCTGTCATAATTTAAGTGTCTTGTATAATGTGATTTTTTTTTTGTCATGCATGTGTCACAGTTCCTTTTATTTTTTCTCCCTCCCCATCAGTTGAATTTTCGTAATATAATTTTACCGCAAATACCTTGATGAGCAAAGAGTTTTGACAGTTTTACTGCCAGTGGTGTTGTTTCTGGTTGATCACAAAGCGAGATTAGGAATTTCTTTTTAGCAGGCTGATTAAAGACAAATATAAATATGCACTGTAATTTTGCCTATTTGCAAGTTTCACTGTCATTTGGTATTTCTGTCATAATTGCGCCATTTTATTCGATGTAGTTTATAACTAGTTTTGTTATGGTCATTTGGGTCTTCAAATATCAATCCGATTGCATCACTTGTAGTTGCCAACTACAAACTTTTTAGTCACTTGGAGTTGTACGCAGGATATGGTGATTGTCAATGTTATCAACCATATCGTTCTGTCACACACACTAAAATCTCACAAGTTGTCTGTTGTGGACTTAAAATTTCACCTGAATCATTTTCTGATGCTCACAATCATAAAAAATGAAAAAACAATCACTGATTACTCTTTTTTTCTTTTCTTTTTTCAGGGTAGTTCAAAACCGAGTTCTTCTAGTTGTCATTGGTTTAATTATGATCACTGTCATAGGAATTACAATTTACTTCACGACAAAGAAATAATAAGGTTTATTCTCACAATGATGATCTGTATGAATGTATATGAATGTAATTAGTATTTATATAAAATGTAATAATTATGAAATTAGTGTTTATTTTCATGTAAAGTTTAATCTACTGTTCTTCTGTGAAAAAATATGTTGTGATTGATGAAATACTGTAAAACACTTTGTGTGTAGCTTTAGCAAACTCAGTTAGATTCTTGATACTAATCTCAAAAGTCGAATGATATGTGTTTAACCTTTTCACCACCAGTTCCCTCTTTTTATCACAAAATAGTCCTGTTAATAGTCAGCACTTTTCTTCAGATGTTTGGGACAAAAATAGCCACATTTTTTTAATATAAACTGGAAATTGACTCAAATTTTGTCTGTTGGCTCCGAAATTAGGGTTCATTGCTAGGAATATTGAAGAATATAAGGAAAAGTGCAATAAAATTTGGGTGAAAATCTTCTGAAGGTAAGAATAGACTATAAATGGGACTACCTGTATATGTGATGAAAAGAGAGAACTGGTGGTGAAAAGGTTAAGCCAGCTGAAAGCTAGATATATGTTAAGCTCCAACTGTACTGTATATGAAACATGTACTTAGACTTGGACTGATTAAATGCGTGCGTGTGTGCGTGTGTGTGTGCGTGTGTGCGTGCGTGCGTGCGTGTGCGTGCGTGTGTGTGCGTGCGTGTGTGTGTGTGTGTGTGTGTGTGTGTGCGCGTACGTGTGCGCGTGCGCGTGCACGTGTGTGCTACATGTTGTGATTAAGCGTAATTGATTTAATGTTGTATTCAGATTTCAATGGATTTTAACAAAAGCAGATTAGTGTCTTGACGTTAATATTGAACAATACATTGGCAAAATAGTGACTTAAGTTTAAGTGATTCAAGTTCATAGCAATACTAACTCAGATTACAATATTGATATTGTTTGTGCTTCAAAGTATTATCATCAGTTAGATGCCTAACTTTTAGTATTTCCCATATGATTGTAGATTTCTGATTTCTAGTGAGTTTGAGTCATGACTTGCCAATATGGTGAATTGTGTCTAGATGTAAATTTGTGAATGACATTTGAATGAGAATAACCTCGTGAAGGTATCAGGTTTAAAAATAGTTCCACAAAGTGGAAGAGTTAAACTCTTGTAGTAAATTTGATGGTAGATAACTCTATACCTTATGTTAGATTACCTGTACTTAATGTTTATGTGAGAGATGCGAATATCATGAGATGGTGAAAATCATAAAAGTTGTACCTGTGAATATTTGTTTGACTTAAGTCAAAGCAACTTTTGCAAAATGCATTCATCATTAATGCCATTACATCATCTAATCACAATTCGTAGCAGTAAAAATTATACTGATTACAATAGTTAAGGGCTGATTGGAGAAACAGGACCATTTTGCTGACAATTCTGACTGCATATTGTTTGCCAGGGTACTATTCGACTAATGCCAGTGTATCTTGATGAGATATTGTTTCTTAAAGCTCGGCATTTCAACATTCAACTAGAAAAAAAGAAATTCAGGTTTAGAATCAAAGCTTTCGTTTTTTTGCAGCAGAAACATTTCTCACATTTTGTGAGAACTCACAGTGAATGTAAAATCTCTATTTTTGCTGCAGTTAATTTTCCCGATATGATAATTTAATGACATTCACAGAAACATAATTTTGCAATAGTCACTGCTACAAAGTTTGCGATTTAATTTTGTTACAAAATTCCCTTAAATCAAACTTCACCAACCAGCACTTTACAGTTGATAGTTATTTGATGACAGCAAATACAAACCTCTTCCTATGTAATGAGATTTTCAGACTTAAAGCAATACAGTCGTCATGCCACGTTATTTTTGGTATGGGATCCATAGCAACATGTGTAAAGTAAATTGTTTGTTTACATGAAATTCAAACACACGCTGTGTGACGACTGTGGTTCTTTAAACAAGGTTTTACTTCTTACATTAAGTTTAGATAAATCGTTTCCTAGTGAGTATGGTAGTTTATCATTATGTGCCATCACTTTTATACAGATGATATACATGGTACAGAATAAACACACCCACATATGCTTCAACGTTTTCAGACCATTGCAATACTTCAAACAGTTCTTTAAAAATGGTGGTCAGTAGCAAAATTTGTATGTGTTTTTTTGTTTGTTTTGAGAGTATCACCTGATTAATAAAAATATTACTTCTAGAGTATGGGAATTTGTTTTCATGCACAAGAAGATCTTTTGTCATCGGTCTCTGATAAAAAAAGTAATTACCTGTACCCGTTTCTACTTTATAATAATTAGTGTGGTACGGTGTCTTTATTTTTAGTTTTTGTTCTGAACATAAACAAGTGTATTTCCAAAGTTTTGTTACGTTGTTCCAAATTTACTGATCGATTGTGTCTTTCTAGAATACACACTATTATACATTTTAGAAAAGTATTAAACTTCAGATTGTTGTAACGCATTTTGTTGTTTGGCGCCCTCTGTGGTGCTGTCAAGAACTACTTCTAGGGGGCGCTATTTCAAAATCTTTCTGCTGTAATTTAATGTCATTCATGTACAGCAAATGAGAAATGTTTATTCTATGTAGACAACATTTTTGAATTTTGTAACACCTAATGTAAAAAAACAAACTGATTTATGTGCTATGTTTAAATTTCCATGTACATTATTATGCGAAAGCAGCTCTCCTGTGAGCTCCTCCTTTCCTGACTGATAACCTCCATCACAATCACCAATGTTTAAACTACTTAGTATGTTGTACTACCATTTTCCTACATTGGAGGTAAAATAGCAAAAACTTATTCTTGCCATTCTCACTGCCAATTTCAGCCTGATTAAAATATGAGGCGATGTTCGCTATGTACATACGCCTCTAACTACATCTCACCAATGATTGTGCAAATTAAGCACTTTACTCATTGGATCTGTAGCCAAACAAAACTTGTCACAGGCCGCTGTCTCGTGACGCCTGCTCTGTCAACAAATTGTATTACAGTAATGTATTACATGTAACTTTAGCGGTGCCTAGGCTCTTTTCATAGCAGTCTTTAGTGGTATCTAGGCTCTTTTCATAGCAGTCTTTAGTGGTGTCTAGGCTCTTTTCATAGCAGTCTTTAGTGGTGTCTAGGCTCTTTTTATTGCAGTCTTTAGTGGTGTCTAGGCTCTTTTCATAGCAGTCTTTAGTGGTGTC